CTGTAAACAGCTTCAAGAGCAGGTTTGACAGTTTCTGGAGGGACAACCCGGCCCTGTATAGCCCTTCATGCTACGAGTGATGAGGCTTCGATCATCTTGGAACAGACACTGCGACGGGCGCGGTGCTGATAAAAATTGTTGTCGACCGATGAACAGGACCGTCAGGGACCTTAAATCGTATTGTCAAAGTCAAAGTCAAAGTCTATTTCATGATAATCGTCAACATTAATTTACTTTTAAGTCTACCTAGATGAGGTAAAATTATTCATAAATGTGCAATACAATATTCAACTGCCTACTAAAAATTACTGAAACAATATTTTACAGGCCATTAATATCATTACAAGCGACGCTTTTCACACCTTTTCTCGTGCCCACGCATGCTCCCGAAATCTCTGTGACCTTACGCGCACGTAAAAAATTTCATTTTAAACCAAGAACCTTTTCCAATAGCAAATATCCAGGAGATTCACAAAATCCTCTCCTGTTGTTTTCCCATATTAATCTCACTCGGGATTGAAACTGAATGACAAACAGAAGTTGTGTACCGACTTTCGAGACTTATACCCAGGTTCGACGTAGGGTTTTCTAAATTTTGTGCAGCGTTCGAATTGTTTCTCATTCGTCCCAGAAAAATTGCTCACTGCGGCAATCAACTATTTAACGCATTCATTCTAACGTAAGCACTTTTAAAGCCAATGGATTTATATGAGTAGCGTTTTAAATCTTTCAGGCCATCAGATTCAAACTACAGAACCGCATTCAATGGTCGTCGATGAGCCGTGAATAAAAAATATAGTCGATGGAAAATGAGACGAAATTCACGAGAACTACCTTTAACTGTAGAGTTTCATAGTCAATCTTGTACATACATTGATACACCTGTAGGTTAACCAGACACAAGATTCACGTTCCTTTATAAACAACGAAATAATAGCGCCGTTATGCCAGCAATAATGATCACAACTGTGAAGGAACCTAACGGCATGCACGCTGGGCTCGATCTTCTTACCAACTCAAACGATTTTTACTTATTTACAAAATTGGAAAATTAACTGAGAATTTGTATAAACACTACTGCAAAACCAAAAGATTACGCATAGAATAAAGACATTAAGATAATGCTTATAAATTAAGGTAAGTTAATCCCATAGCCTTCTGATCAATAACGATTATGATTTTGGAAATTCGGTAACAAAAAATCTGTCAAATTAATAGGAAACTTTCCTCCCGAGTTTCGATCCTCAAAAAAATTATTATTCCATAGGAACAATTTTCACCGACATGAAATTGATCTCAGTACATTGATATCATTCCCAGTACCAACAGCCTTCGAGATTTCAGGTAAACAAATTAACGAGGTTCAGTTCGAAATTTACATTTTACAATACAGTAATACTTTTCACATTAGACATCATTTGATAAATGCTTGACCATAATTCATAATAAACCGAAAAAGAGTATTATGGTGAATTTCATACGTTTAGAAAACAATAAATTACATAGATCTGATTGATCCGATTGACCACCTAACAGATCACTATAACCAAATAACATCAGTCACTTAACGTACATAATTCTAAATTTCTCAATTAGAATAGCGCTAGCCTCCATGATTCATCCTACTTTTAGGCAAAACCAGGTATCTAATTGCATCTAAATTCTAGAACAAAATTCTTGACTTTACACCTGAGCCAACACTAAAAATCACATCAACCATCTACCAAGCAGCAAGGAAATTTAATGCTGAATTTCTCGCTGTACAACGACCAGATTCTCGTCATCAAGAAATATTTAATTACACAAACAGAATTCTAAGAAATAAATTCCTACTCAACAACACAGCAGAGCACAATCGCTTTAGGTCGATATAAATTTTGTACAGACTGGCAAAGCCAAATTGGCTGTCCCAACTATCTTCGACCAGATGATTTTTTTGGAGTTTCAAAGAGATCGTCTACTGCTTCTTCTTCCTCTTCATCCATTCCTTCCTCCTCCTCCTCCTCTTCCTGCCCATCATCCATATTTTCAGCCTCGTCAACGCCACCGACATCCTCGTTGCCGTAGGTCGCTTCATCGTCCATGTCCATCATGTCCTCGTCCTCTTCGTCCATCATTTCATCCTCGTCATCGAACGTGTCATTCTTATCTTTAGCGGTGGTGAGAAGCTCCAGCATTTGAGTGAAAAGAGCCAGCTGTGCATTGTTATCCGTGGTGAGGGACTCACCAGCCTTCTTGCTCGCCTTCTCCCGCTGGTGCAGCCAAGCAAGTATGTTATCTGCCTCTTCGTTTGATAGGTCGTCATCCTCACCGTATGAGAAAGGAATCGAGTCAAGCACGTCCTGACAGTACTCCTCAAAGTTATCTGAATTTGAGATTTGATCTCCCAAGTCTTCAATTGTTTCTCTGACAGTATCTGCTATTTCAGAGCTCAAACGAATAAACTTTTCTATAGTCTTAACACTTAATGGCTGAGAAGGTTCTTTCTTGAACGATTTTAGGCCGCTCTTCAGAGACTCTATTGCTTCACCAAACAAGTGCAACAATTTCTTATTTTTCTCACTTAGTGGCTTCAAATTTGAAGCTGCTTCATCTTCACTTTCACCTTCGTCCTCATCTTCCTCTTCATCATCCATGTCTTCCTCTTCAGATTCGATTGACTCCGATTCTGCTTCACTTCTACTTCCACCACTTCGTTTTGGAAGCTTTCTGACCTCCCCTCGCTGAGTAAAGATCTTAATAATTTTCCTAGTTCCAGCCTGTTTTTCTTCTTCTGCGCGTTTTTTCTTTAGTAATTCATCTTCCTCAGGTTTACGAGTTCGGATTTTGATGATAATGGGAGGTTCAGTTGGGTTGCGACGTGTTGCCGTTAATACCTTGGCACTCGTACCCTTAACTTCTCGCCCAGGGACTGCAGGCAGAATCTTCCGCAGGTCTCCATTGACAGAAGTAGGCGGCTGCACCATTACCTTAGATCCCGGGGCAAACTTTTTTGTCTGTACCTGAACAACAGCAGCAGTCTTCAGTGAGCCTCCGGATATGACTTTATTTTGCATCATCACTGTCGTGCTCCGAGCAAATGGACCACTGGAGGAACCTTTGCGCACAATTTGGGATCTTATATTCTTTTGTGAAGTGTTTGTTCCTCCAGATGAATGTAATTTTGCTCGATTGGCAAATTCAGAATTTTTGTTCCGCACAGCATTAGCTTTGTTCATAATGGCCAGGAACCGACGGTCATCCTCTTCATTTTCAGAAGAGGATTCATCATCATCATTCAATAGCGCAGATGGATCATCTGCATCAATGTCTTCTTCTTCTTCTGAAATGAAAGCAAATATCGTTAGAGGACTCAAATTCAAAATAAAATAATATGCGTTTAAAAATTACTTTTTAAAGACAACACTTCTTAAGTATCCAGTGTCTCCGGTGTTACGCATGTACAATGAATTTCTAATTTTATTATGAAATATTAGGAAAATTAATTTTTTAATTTTATTTTTAAAATTACAAAAATTCAAATTGTTAAAAATTATTTATTCTGTCAATTGTTAAATGCATTGTCTCCGACTTTACGCAAATATGCAAAATTTCAGATCAATTGGACAGGTAAAAGTGTGTTAAATATTGATTATAAGTTATGGAGCAGACAAAATTATTATTTTTTTATAACAAAAATATTTTTTTTTAATTTCAAAATTATTTATTCTGTCAATTGATTCATGCATTGTCTCCGACTTTACGCATATATGCAAAATTTCAGATTGATTGGAGAGGTAGAAGTGGGTTAAATATCGATTATAAGATTTGTAGCAGACAAACAAGAAGTGAAGTTAAAGAGAAGTGTTGTAATAAAGAAAAGTAAAAAAATTTAAATTGTTCAAAATTATTTATTCTGTCAATTGATAAATGCATTGTCTCCGACTTACGCAAATATGCAAAATTTCAGATCGATTGGACAGGTAAAAGTGTGTTAAATATAGTCAAATGGGGTAAGACAGGATCGCAGGCTTCATGGGGTAAGAAAGGACCAGCCCATGGCGTGCATTCTAATTGCACTGAATTTAATTTGGCAAAAGAATATATTAGAACAATCATTGCCTGTCATTTCAGTGTTTGTGGCAGCCCTCTTCTGCAAATAATGAATTTCTGGCTAATTTTTAAAGAAAACCAATGTAAAGAAGGGTAACAAAACAGTTAACCCTGTTTGGGAAATAAGCTCTATCTAATGACAAAAAATTTTTTGGCCAGGTTTGTGGATGTAGGCAGGTTGTCTCAAGTAATAGGCAACTTTTAAGACATACTAGGCATTCCTACCTGCTACCATCACTGCTTGACATGTATTCTAAAATGGGGTAAAAAAAAGACCGGACATGGGGTAAGACGGGACCACTAAATGATCCTGTTTTACCACACAAGTGGTCCTATCTTACCCCACAAATGGTCCTGTCTTACCCCACAAATGGTCCTCTATTACCCTACAGTTTATCAAAAATAATTTTTAAATGAATATATTATTGTGTAGTACATGGAGTATTTTGGTCAACATTTTTATCGTTTGCTCAAACTTCATTGTAACTTGTTAGCTTTTTTGATTAGAGAAATTTAGTGCACTATTTTAAATTGCATCAAAGGGATATAGAAAATAGGGATGTCTATTCCCATTAGTGAGCTGCAGAAATACGTGCAAGATTGGCTGGGGGAAAAATCACTGTGTGAAACCTGAAAAATAATTATGATCACAACTCTGTGAGAGGGCATGAGCTATGTTTGAAGAAGTGCACCACGAATGCAATTAGCAAGAAAAACGTGATGTCTGATGGGTTACTTAAGTTATTATCCATTGTTTTTATTACCAATTTGATAAATTTTTCAGACAATGAATGACACTAATGGAATATACCTGAAGCATTTATCAGTGCTCTACAATGAACCAAAGCCAACCCACTATTACTATGCTTAACAAAGTTTTCTCATGCCAACAACTCCAATGTGACTGATATTAGAGTTGACTTCCCGCAATGCAAAACAGTAACAAGTGGTTGTTTTATCAAATAATGTGTTTCTAAATGGATAATATTGAATATCAGATTGTACTTTTATTAAAAACCTTGTAACGTAAGAATTACCAGTCGGTCCTTTCTTACCCCAGCCTGGTCCCATCTTACCCCAGCGAGGTAAGATGGGACCAGCTCACTTTTTTCAATCTTTACAGAAAAGGTGTTAGATGCAAAACGTCTGAGTTGTAGCTTAGAAGCCCATTGCATAACTACACCTTGTGATAGGTTTAGGGTTTTTTAGTTATTCATGGTATAGATGCTACAGGCTTAATAGTGAATTCTGTCCTGACTTACCCCATCTAACTATATATCGATTATAAGTTATGGAGCAGACAATTTTTTTCATTTTTGTTTAATATCAAAAATAAAATTTTTTTAAATTTTCAAAATGATTTATTCTGTCAATTGATTCATGCATTGTTTCCGACTTTACGCAAATATGCAAAATTTCAGATCGACTGGAGAGGTAGAAGTGGGTTAAATATTGATTATAAGATTTGTAGCAGACACACAAACAAGAAGTGAAGTTAAAGAGAAGTGTTGTAAAATACATTACTGGTAAAATAAAGGTCGAGTCACCTGAGCCAAAATGCAAACACGACTATCAGCAACTGAAATAATTTACATATTCATTCATGAACGAAAGCTGACATAGGATAGTCATAGTAAGGTAGCAAATTTTTTCAAGGAATTCACAGGTTGACCGCGCCGAAAGAATGATGGTGACAGCATGAAAGAAGAACTGGGTTTCTTTACTTAATTTACAAATTTAGATAATTTGAAGGAACAGGTCACAAATCCTTTCTGTTGCACCAGCTAATTATGGACCATCAAGAGGACGTAATAACAACGTTTCCTGCAAGAATGAATGATATCCATGACTAAGATGGAATCAAAATTTAAAGTCGCACTAAAGACAATAAGTCTAAGATATATCTCTTGCATCTAAGATATATCTCTTGCATATAAAATTGGAAATTTCAGGAGCAGCCAGCAGTCAACAACTCAATATAAGATGATTAAAAAAAGTCACTATAAGCAGCTACTGCTTTGAATCGTTCATGCATCGCCTACCTGAGGATTTGTGGAGAAATTCCTTCATTCGTTCTGTGGGTTTAGGTTGGCGTCGACTCCGCCGATTTTCCGAGTCGCTTGGTGTAGGGGGTCCTATTAAAACAAGAATTAATATAATATACAATCGCAGCAAAATGAAATCTCTAGGTCATTCGAATCATATATGAAATTCAATTATTATGTATTGAAATACTTTTACATCTTTTCAATTAAAAATGAAACAAGACAAATGCCCTGCCACCAGTGAAGAAAATGATTGTGAAGTGGGAACATTTTGAAGGATTTCTGCAAAAAATGCAAGTGTTGGACATGTAAATCATAGTAAGCAATCGTAAACACATTAGTCACTATCAGAATATAACTAGTTTTCAATTGCATATATTTTAGCAACTACGTACTTAGCTTTAAATATTAAATAAATGAAAAATTACACAGAAATCTTTAGATTTAAATAATCATACATTTTCTAACACAGAAACATGAATAAGTAGCAAAGTTTTTTCGACCAAAGCATTTCACATTATATATAAAACTGGCGAAAACGGGGATGTGAACTAGACCGATTGGTGTGAAATTTAAAGAGGGAACGACATGAAAATTTTCCCACAAACCTTTTGATATAGTGTTAGCTGCTTTGGACGATAGCTTGGCGGCGGCAGCAGAGGTGAGGGTTTTAGTCACGGTTTTGACGGTGTTAATCTTGTTGGGCACGCCATTTGGTGACAGGACATAGCTACTAGACACTACTGTTGCTGGCTGCACTTTCGACGGAACGGACTTAGAGGGCACCGCAGCAGTGACAATTTTTCGAATAGGATTATTAGCAGCGGAAGATTCCTTTTCATCAGTCTCCTGAGAAGACAGTTTCACTTTCTTGGTGAGTGGAGAGTGAGGAGGCGATGCGGCTGTGAGGATTCTTTTAACGCCACTGCTGCCCTTGCTCACTTGTTTTACTGTGCCGATTTTGGCAGGGCTCATTTGTACATCTTTGGGTGCAACTTGGGTAGCCACCTTTATGGGAGAGATGGCACTCGCTTTCTTCTGAGCGGTGTTTACAGTCGTGCCTGATACAGGGACCTTGACTGTTGTCACAACAGAAGTTGTTGTAGCTGTGCTCTTGCTAGTGGATACCTCAGTTGACGAATCTGCAGTATTAGCCGTGACCGTTTTCTTGACAACAGGCGTTGGTTTTGTATGTTCCTTCTTAGTTTTTTCCATCAACTTCTCTGCTATTTGTTGTCCATCCTCGTTTTCATTACTTTCTTCATCAACATCCATGAATTTACTATCAATTTCATCCTCTGAAGCGTCAGTCTCTTCATCTTCTGGATCTTTAAAAGCTGGATGCTCTTCCATTTCTTCATCAGATAAACTTGCACCGGCTGCTCCTCGTCCTCTTCCACGACCACGGCCTCGACCACCACGGGACCCCCGTCCCCTTCCGCCTCTGACAGATGTTGGAGTGGACGACTTACTCTGAAGCGTCTTGCTAATTTTGGCCGAAGACGCGGGAGTTGTTTTCTTAATGGCAATCTCTGTTTCAGCTTCTGCTTCCAGAGCCTCAGCAATTTTAGCACTGGGTTTTGGTACCCGTTTTCCTTGCAGAACTTCGGGAGCTTTTTCAAGAAGCCCTTTACCAGATGTAACTTTCTTTACTGCCTTGATAGAAGTTTTTTTAACATTAAAAGTGACATTTGTTCGAGAAACAGTGGGAGTTACTGGCTCGACAACCTCTTCTTCTTCTTCTTCCATCTCCTCTTCGTCTGCTGTTTCATCTTCCTCTTCTTCATTTTCAGCAGGCGCAATAATCTTGGCAGCTTTGGCTGCAGAAGTGGTTTTTTGAGATGCTTTGGGAAGGGGAGTCTTTGCAAGAGGAGTTGACTTGACGGTCGCCGCCACTTTTTTCAAAGGACTCTTCTCTACAACTGATTTTGCTGGCACAGCAGGCTTCTCATCTGTTCCGTAAAACATTGTATGAAGTCATTGGCAACAAATAGCTATAGCTAATTCATTGTGCTATGCATGGAGTAGAATATTAGAAATGCAGAAATTTTGCTAGCCACTCTTAATTTTTGCAAGGAACTAAAAAAAGTAGAAATTAAAAAATTAATAATTTCGTTAATTTTAAGCTTAGATTTCAAACTGTATTCACAATACTCTTTATTTGTACTACTTTCATTTAATGCATTTCATTAAAATATCGTTTGGTAACTGCTTTTTGATCTCCTGGCACTAACAAGAGATTTTGTTTGACTCGTTGAAAACAACAATCAAGAAGATTAGTAATAAAAAGCAAGCTCTGGTCTTCAATCAAATTTGCATAAAAAAGGCTTCTGCTAGATTACACCAGTTTAATTTAAAAATATAAAATAATAATTTTAATATAAAATAATAATAATTTAATTATAAAATATAAAAATACAATAACATGATTAACACAATTATTAAGCATTGAAAATTCAAGTTACCAATGTTGCACTATAAAAAGTGGATGTTGCACAAATATGCAAGAATACCACACTTCATGTACAAAAATACTGAAGTCAAGAGAAAAATAAGCTTAATATTAAATTCATTCAAATCAACTTTTAACTCGATTCTCAAAGCATAAATCCAAAAGCAATTTTTTCAATTCAATTTCATATTAACAAATTTTTTAGGAATTTATTGTGCCCTTTGACCAATGAATGTGAAGTAAATAATCATTTTAATGATGAATTATCAAATCTTCATAGGTTTCTGCCCATTGATACTTACACATTCCCCACATATCTGGTTAGCACAACTTTGGCAATCAACCTATTGTGTAAACACAAATATTCTTAGAGAGCAATACGCAGCATTGGAATATCACTGTTGGTACACATATGGAATGTGTTAATTTGCACTTATGATTAAAGAAAAATTTTAAAATCAGAAAAATCTGCACAGCTAACTTGCCAATACTATGGTCACATATATACTAGTTCAAGAGACAAAACTTACTTTTGGTTATTGATCGTGGAGTTGCGGCATTTTTTGGAGTTTTAGGAGTTTTTGCAGGGGTAAAATTTTTTGCAATCTCTGCAATGCAAAAATAAAAGTATATCAACTTGCTGAAGAAATGTTTGATATTTAAGAAGTGATTAATGATGAATTTTTTTCATGTGATATGTTTTCCAGTAAATAGTGTAGACAACATAAAAGAATACATCAAATTTAAGAGTGCATTAGCCAAGGACAAATTGACATGTTACTATTGTATATGCAATAACAAACACATTTATATCACTGAATTGAGAATTCTCACCTTCACCAAGAAATTCCTTCAGGCGCTGAGTTGGCTTTGCCTCCCGTCTGCTCTTTCGAGGCTCCGACATTCTGATTGGCCAAAATTGGACTTGTCCTTCTGGAAATGAATATAAAATTTCAACAATTTCATCCCATCATAAAAAAAATCAAAATGCTATTTACAAGTTTCAAAATTCAATGCATAGATATATGTCTTTACTTTACTCCTGAGTACTCTAATCATGAAATGATTTTGAAGGATTTGAAGATTCCAGGAATAAGTAGGAATATTTATTAAAAGGCCTATTAAACCTATCAAAAAATTGGGAAAACCCACCCATGAATCAGACAAAAACCATCATAAATGTGGCCAATTTCACCCATTCCTACAGACTTTTCCCAATTTCTTCAGTGGAAAATAAAAAATTTGTCTATTTTTATCAATGATTCTGGAAAACTTCTGCCTGATATTCCAATGTATTCTAGGTACTAAATTTGGCATCCTCATCCTATGTTGTTTCTCACTGGACTATCCAAGGCAGAAACATACAAGTGTTAACAAATGAACAATAAATTGTGATGAAAAAAAACATAAAAAAGCATGAATGTCAATTTGTGATCAAGTTGGCTGAAGACAAGTTTTAAATTTAGTTGAAAAATACAGATATTTGGACAGAACAGACTATTTTTCTGTAAAGATTATGATATATAGCCTATGTCCATGGAGGCATTGGTATCATAGGGTAAACGTGGTATATTCCAACATCGTGGGTAATTCCAACACCTCTCTACTTTTTTCCTTTATATTAAGCTTTATCCCATGCATTCATTGATGGTTAAAATAGTGACGTCATACTTTTGCGCGCCATACTATTGCCAAAACACTAGGTCTGGGCTGTCTGGCGGGTAAATGTTGAGATCCAAAGAAAGACAGTGCGCGTCACCCAGTGAGAACATCGAAAAATGTGTCAAAGTTGATAGTTGCCCTCACCTTGCTCTACCAAATAGTGATAAACTGTTTGTGGAGAAAGAATATTATGGTTTGAGACTTTTGAATACGTCTGTGAATATATTAGAAATCCTTTATGTATACTTGTATTTGCTGATTTCAAGTGGTAAAAAAATTAATAGATGATTAAGTTAAGAGACGGTTTTAGACACATAAAAACTAATTCCAACACAGCTTGGAATTAGACACACACAGCTCATTCCAAGCTGTGTGCAAAAATTAAAATTTTTCTAATTAAGAGCTTAATACCTCTTAATTAAAAGCCTAATTAAGTAGTGTTCAATATTCAATAGTGTTCTAATTCCAAGCAGTGTTGTATTCCAATACAGCTCCCACAGCAATCAGAATTCGAACACAAGAGTGTCAGCATTACGAATTAGGTAATAGAGTTTAAAGCGCGCCTGGAATTAGTCTCACAAAATGCCAAATTTAGTCACACACAGTGTTGGAATATATGGATTTGGTAGGTTTGCATTCTAAAGGCTTTTAAATAAAATGGCAACACTTTGTGACGTTTCATTGTTGCTGGCACGTAGTGTGGTGTTTTGAGAGTGACGTAAAGCAAACAGAACTCGAGTTGCGCGTACGGTGTATTTTTTATAGCCATTCATTTTTGCTACGTTCATAAAGTGTCGGAATATACCGCGTTTACCCTACTATCATTTCATTTATCATTATGTTGTAGGTAGTTGCATAGTGACAAACCAGAGATATTTTAGAATCAGTTCATTTTTAACTTCCTCATTTACCTAAGATTTAACACTTTAACCGCATCGTGACCCATATGTGGGTCACGCGTGTCTGTCTTAACCTGCATCGTGACCCACATATGGTGCACTCCCTTAAATTTATAATAATTCATTAAACTTCAATATTAACCTCCTCAATCACATTTTAGGTGTTATAAATAAAGGATAATGATGACGATAATGTATACTAAGCATATATTTTGCGTGTAGCGAGTAAACATTATTAATCATTCTTCATTGAACTTGAGTCCTTAGGCGCTCTATGACGAAATGGAATGCTTCAGATTGAAGCATGATACGCACAGATATGGTTTATTTTCGCATGTGTCGCAATAAGTGTTTATCTTGCGAGTTTTTGAACGGGCTACTTTAGTTCCTTCCGCATTGGCAATTTGGCTGTAGCAAGACAGACATCTCTTCCTCTTCTTACTTTTAGGCCCATCAGCCTCAACCAGTTCATGAGATTTGCGCTTTCCTGAGATGTTTGATTAATGAGGATATTACATAATTCATTATATAGCAAACACTAAGTGTATCCAATAATCAACAATATATAATGAATACTTGAAAGATCTCACAAGAAATTTTACAAATAACATGCAGTGGTTGTGGTCACATATGGCGCACGTTGCTACAGATAATAGCTACAATTACTCTCCACATCGTGCACCTCTATTGGTGCACGGGGATCGTGACCCCATGTGGCGCACGATGCACAAAATGAACACAGCTTTTACTGTCCACATCATGTACCACATTTGTCCCACGGATTTTATAACACCAAATGTTTGTACTTACGTTCATAGAGCGACACACAACCTCTCATCTTCCTGGCTCAATGGTGACTGAAGCAATCGTAGTTTGAACGAGATGCAGACGGGGCATAATGGCGATTCTCGGAGATGCGGTTAAAGTGTTAAACCAATTTCTTATGTATGATAAGGCTGGTATCCAGGATACTTAACTGGTCTACTTGTGTGACTCAAAAATGAACTTGAGGGAGAGTCTAAAAAAACTCTCTGCTTTGCCACTATGGGTAGTTGTATATGAAAAATATCTACTGTCCCAGCCAAAACTGTAATTTTGGAGCCAAAAGTTTATATAATTTGCAACCTTGAGTTTAGATTTTATGCCATAAATGCATAGGGCTATTCCCAACAGTGGAAGTTAATATTCAAAGTTCAAACTGCAACAAGTTTTACATTATGTCTCTAAACTTACCAAAAAGAATAGTGTCAAATATTTTCAATAGTAGTAAATATTAGGGTCTTCAGAGGCAGAGCAATTCAGTAGGTATTCAGTACATTATAATACAATATTTATCTTTGAGTAAAAAATCCTAGAAGTCTATGATATGGTCAATTGGTCATCTCTCAAGGTTTCATTGTTATTAAGTGTTAGGTAACAAGTTGTCTGACAGCCTCAAATTCAAATATATTTAATTATCCCAAATTAGGCTATTCAACAAAACAAATACAACTTATCAATAAAAAACATCATGAACTTGAAACGCGCATAATCAATATTCATCTTAGGTTCTCACTTCTTGTGCGATACAACAAAAACAATTCATTCTTCTGCCATTTCTGATTTTTGTTCGTGATTATTCAGCTTCTTTTGCTGCTCCACATTATTTTTGTAATTAAAATCTAACATCTACTAGCTTCAAACTCACTTATGAAGTTATGGAATTCGGTAATAAATATTGGATGCAGTCATTTGATGTTGATCTAGATTATATTTTAAGCGATCTTCGTTCAACTAAATAGTAAATGACTAACCTAAGTTGCATACACATTTTACTTTTAGTATTGCATGTCATTGATGTCAACCGTGCCAAAAACTCGAGCTATAAATATTTGACTTTACAAAAAATTTTAACAGAGAAAATATCCGACTTACACTAGAGAACTTTTGTAGTTTATATTCGAATCTAAAACCAGAATTTCTTAGTCGAATTTGTCGTCATTGCAACAATACCGCGAACGTAAACATAGCGTCGGACACAGTGCTACCAATGCTCCAGCCAATGCAAAATAGTTTGAAACATAAAGTAAAAATAATCAATGTAAAAAAGGAAATTTTTTGCTACATACTTACAACTTATCTAAAAATTATTCAAATTTCATATTCTAATCTATTGACATGCACAGAATTAAACCGCACAATTTTCAAGTTGGTATAGATGGCGCTGAGTCCTCTTCACTTCACGTTCTTCAGAAACGACATTTCCACTATTCTTCTCTTAAAAGCGAAAAAGCACTAGTAAATTTTATTTCAAGTAATTTCTATCTCAAGACCTTTTATCAAGTTTTGTTTTTATTTATATTTACAGATAAAATGCTCTGACTATGTAACCGTTCATATACACACACTTTTAACGGATATATAAGGTAATGTTTAATTGCAATGATATATACAATTTTATACTATTTAAAACGCACTAACATTATGAATGACAGATTTTTATTGTGTAAATTAAGAAGCTGGCAGGGAATGTGCCTAATTTGACAATCACTTTCCCTTTTCAACTCAGATTTTTTGTCCTCATGTTTAACGATTACTAGCGACTTTACCTGATAATGGACGTTAATGGAAATGTTTTACGAAGCTACAGTGCCCATGGTTGAATTAATACATGGCATTTGAAGATAATAAATCATATATACTTTTGATCATAAAATTGCAACACTGGTGATCAGGAGGTAAATGATTTTTTTAGTTATTTAGGCAATCGAAGGGCTTAAAGAGTATATTGTTGAAACTTTTATCGTTGTTCTTTTCAATTTGCAAGATCGGATTATTGAAAAAGCGAGGATGAATCTCCAGCTAGCTACTAATCAAAAATATACATAACGTATTAATTCAACCATGGCAGTGCCCAGCCGCTACTCCCGGGACTATTGTGAAAAGAGAGGCTGAACTTATTCTAACGCTGACTTTAAAATATATGTCACTAAAATTTTTCATTTCAAATACATCATCAACAAATTGAATTTAAATTCGTAATTACAGTACCAAAACGCAAATTTTGTATAAGTGTTGCCGCAGCCTATTGTATGCAGCAAATCATGCCTAATAATACATTGGTCGCATCCTGGAAGTAACTGTAGACGTTTTTGGACCAATGAAAACGCTTGCCATTTGTACATTACCAAAGAGAAGAAAGCCTCCCTTCAGCCATGCAACGATTTACTTGAAAAGTAATCAGCGCACTACAAAACATTTTCAATTAAAAATATACGTTTTCATCAAACACACGAAGAGACTAACTACTCTCCTTGCATCTTAAGCGACTAAGATACATTCAATTTTAAAAAATGAACATATATACCTACTAAAACAAGGATTTACGGTTTCATCACTCATCAGGAACTATACCTCACCTTGCAATCCATAGTTAACGTTAATTTTTTTCGGTCAAATTTACGGAAGTTTATCTACAGTAGATAATGGGTTGAGAAAGTAGTTTAACATAATAGATTAAATGCTTTCAGAGAAATGTCATATCGACTGAATTTTTTTATTTTTTATTAATTACGAACTTATGCACATCCTTTCAATAGTGACCAAAACTAATATTTATCGCAGTTAGTGTTCATTTATTTTTTCTTGTTTTCGCCTTACAAACCATCATAGCCCCATTCTTGCTTCATTCCTTCTCTCTATCAGTTTCCAGACGCTCAGCATATATTTTTTTATAATCTCAATCACAGTCACTGTTGCTCACTCTGACAAACCACAATCACTGCAATCCATTCATCCTTTATTCTCACATACGGCACACCCCCCGCCATTACTCTCAGCCCAATCGTTTAGCATCCCCACCATCATTCCCTGTCTTTCTCTCTCACATGTATCTCATTCTACCATCAGGTGTCAATTATTTTCTTCACTTCACCCATCATTTATACAACACTCATCCACCCCCTCTTCAGCTCTTCTATACACTGCATGTCCATTATTCCATCAACCCTGCCCTCCCTCCAAACTGTAGGTCTACAAAATATACAGTCATGCATGCATTCATACCTTGGCATTGCTGTCAGTAACGGGAGTAGAAAACACTTGCAGTATGTTTGATTAGTATAATGCTGAAGTAATTTAACTTTATGCATCAAAAGAACTTTGATCGCACTGTTGCCAAGTAGAAAGTAACTTGCGGGAGATTAAATATGTTAGGAATGAATGTTGCACAATCTTATATCAATTCCGGTATCATAATTTTATCCAAGGATCTGGAAGAATATGCACTTTCTCTTTATAATGTCTCTTTCTTCGTACATTCGAGAACACGATACTGGAAAATAATGTAATCAATAAAAAAACTGGAAGATCAACAAGAAGTTTTAAAAACAGTGTATAAGATACAGTTTTTTTTGCCGCGCCAATTTTAAAAGAGATAGTGCAAAATGAAATATCACCCTAGATGCAGCAGGTAAAACACGATCTGATGAGATCTAATTCCTATAAATGACGCAATCCAATTCGACAAAAACCTTTTTGCTCCGCATCGATTAGTCATGATATCAAGTATGAAGTAATAGCAGCCGAAGGTGACATTGACTTCAATCAATCCTGTTCGGCATCATGGAACTGTGTATGAGGTAGGTACCCTTTACAGACCCAATACGTGCACGTCAAAACAAACCCCTACTGGTCCCCTTCAAATCCCCCAAACCACATGCCTTCGAAAGTCACCTTCACAATCCCTGCTCTCTCCCACATCGCTCTGCTCTCCCTCACATTTCTTTCCACAATCACTTTAATCTCATCGCTGCATGCACTCACAGTGAGGTTATACCGTGCGCTATACGTATGTGCCTAGTTTCTCATATAATTCTTTCAGAATCTCGGCTTTCCATAGAATTACTACATAAACATACTAACACGATCGTCAATGCTAGTCGTAGCAAAATACCCGATTACTAGACTACCCATAATGGGCAATCAGATTAGATTGTTGTAGGTAAAACAAGTAAAATTGCTTCTCGTGTAACTTAAAAAAGTGTAGTGTTTTTGCCCAAAACCCACCTACGTTATGACTTGGTACGCACGCTGTCTAAACTGACCAAAATTAGTATGGTCTATGACACACAACTTGCCGCTGTTGAGTCACTGCACTGAACTTGTATATTACTGGACATAAATACATTTTATACGTATAAACTGTACAGAAGAAGAAATCTGTTGAAAACTTCCTGTAATTCCTAATTCCATTATGTCAATATGATGTCTTTTTTTAGCACGGCTACATCCGAGAGTTGGCGGCTCAAGTGTCATTGAAGGAATTCATGACATATTCAAGTAAATTTCTTAGCTGGGGTTTGAGTGCAACCAAATGTTACCTTTTTCGGTATAAATAAATAATTGAACACTGCAAAGGGGGATCGTTTTCTTTTTGTGTGCGAGTTAATGCATCATTTTGTGAACGACTTGTGAAGTTGTACGTTGTGGAATGTCATTCATCAATCGTCGAAGTAAATCCCGCGACTACAAAGAGACGCCTTTTTCACAACAACCCTCCGGTATCACAGTGAGCTTCCATGCACGTCAAGCGATACGAAATTTCTTTCTTACATCAACCACTCCCCTGTTCCTGACATTTATTCATGCAAAGTTGCTATAGTGACGCCGGTATGTCGTTTAGACTGTGCTGAATATAGGTGGCAGCGCACCATCGAGCGCTCCAGCTCGACGCGTCACCTTCAAAGCTCCTTCACGCGACGAAGCGGTGCTGCTGCATGGCAATCCTAACGATTATATCGCCGCTGCTGCTCCGCTTTAACGACCCTACAAATAAAATACTTCCTATTGTTACTTGTGGTAAATATCATTGATAGTCGCTCTGGAGTTTATACTTTCATTGATTGGAATGGGGCTTGCTGGTGAGCAAGATGACTTATGTCAATTAGAAAGGAATAAAACATATCTGATTGTAGAGAAAGTTTTTTATTGCAGCCAGCCTGATCTCCCTTAGCTTCTTACACACTGCGTACTTTAAGCTCCCTTCAAAATTTCAAAAGCTCAGAGCCTTAATTAATTCATTTAATATTAGACGCAAAAAAAGTTTATTAGAAAAAGAAAATGTAATATTATGTCTTTATCGCCCTGTTCTTTTGGGCATTGGAAGATATTGCCATTTCACCGCCGTACGTTATGTCGCGTTCCATTCAACTCACGATCCGATTTCTATCTCAATCTTCGACTTTTGCAACTTGTACTGTATTTTTAATCGT